AAACAGAAGGAGAATAATATCACATCTGTGTGAAAACCACTTTATCGCCCCAGCATAGTCATAGTTTCTTTGTGTGAGTTGCTTTTCTCCAGATAAAACTCCAGGGGTGTCAACAAAGGTCATATGCTCCAGGAGCTACAGATACAGGGGTAAATTCGTAAATACACTTAAAACGCAATTAGTGAAATTTAAATGTGTAAAGCTTAGCTTACAGGGTGTGGCATTTGAGCACATTCAAATTTGGATAGAAATGTGCCTCCAAATGTAGCAAGGGCAGTGAAAGGCATATCTGCGTGTACAGCAATTGTGTTTCCAGGTATGGTTACCTCATGGGGTCCACCCTACAAACAGTTATTATTCAACAACAAGCATAAAAAAGAAAATGGAAATAAACAGAAAAAATGATGATAAGATGTGTAATATCACCATGACAACAATGAATTTGTCGGTTGTAGGTTCTGGTCCAATGTGAGCTCCTGTTCATGTAAAAGAAAGATTATAAAGAAAGATTATTTTAATTTTTGACAATTTAAATAAATTAACTCACCCGGGTAGTTGCATTTAAGAATATGCTTAATAAATGTTGTCTTCCCAGTTGAGTACTGACCAAGAAGCATTACCATAGGTTTTGCATCAAAGTCGGTATCTGACTGCATTTGATGATGATGATGATGATTAAAACACTTTTTTAAACAGATTTGTATGAAAGACAAAAACATACATATAAACTTCTTACCAATAATGAAGATCCAAAATCATTGTAATGGTAAGCAAGTTCCAGTGGCTTTAGCTTTTCGTTGTACAATCTTTTCAACCCATCAATTATAGATGTGACTTTGTCACGAGGTGTGTGAAGAGGTGTCTGAAAAGGAAAGGAAATAGAATAGAATAGAATGTTTAACTATTATCAGTCATAAGAATATGGAAATATTAACCGGATGTGTGAAAACCTACCTTCCTTGGTGACACGTACTCAAATGACATAATGCCTACATCAAATCGAAGCAAATAACAGAATAAGAAACGGTTTATAAATTTTTGACATCAAAATGAGAGGTGTACAGTGTACTAACCATTTGTTTCAGAGGCATGATTGGTTAGTGAACCACTATGGTTCTGGGGATTAAGAAGGATAAAGCATCAATACAAGAAAAAGGTTTTATAATATGAAGGATAGATATCAAAACAGAAATGGATGCTTACATCCAGAAGTAAACCCAAGCCTTCCATTAATGGAGGGCTGCAGAAGCTCCAGATCAACTATCAAACACAAAACAAGGATGATATGGAATATCAATAGCAAACATCCATAAGGTATTTGTCCATAAGAAAGAAGTAATCTAGTCTCAAGAGTTGCTATGAAATGAGTACAAGTAATTCGTATAGATAGATTCACATACCATCAGTTCTCATTAAATCTGCATTTATTTCATGTCCTGTTTGTGCTAGATAGATCAACTGTCAAGCAAAACAACAACATCAAATTCAAGTGAGATGATAGTGTGAATATTGCAAGAACAAAAAAGAAGAAAGAAGACATACCTGCATGGCAGTGATGAACTCTGTAAAACCTAAAAATCCTTGACGCTTGGAATCTGCAATTGTCCAAATCTTCAAAAAGCACAATAACAGTGATCAAAGAACAAAACCTTCGAGTGCAAAAAAGAACTATCTTTTTTAGGGATGGCATATCTTAAGGGGGTATTCCTTCAATCAAATTTGACAGCACAATAATAAACTGGTCCCTTGTGCAAATAGACAAATACAGAGATCAATATCATGATCAGATTCATATTTATACCATACACTTTAAGGAGCATAGGAATATTCCCAACAATTAATTACATTATCTTCTGAATTCAGCATAAGAACGACTATATGGTAGCAAATTTTACTAAACCTCATAAAACCCTAAGATAAAGCAACATGTAGGATGAATACAGTTAGCAAATAGACTATAGAGTATGCGTCAACAGCTACAGTCCGTTTCAGCATCAATCATATGAATGTTATACGCTCAAAAACAGATAAAAGACCAGCAAACTTAACCCCCATCCAAACCTATGTAAATTACAGGATCAAAATTCAACGCATCAAACCAAGTCCATGATTTGTGAGCAATAGTAGTGTCTTCACCTGTTTAAGATCAGGTTTTTCAATATTCGACATAGCAAAAAACTTCGTTGCATCATCTCCTGTTATCCGACCATCACCATCTACACATTAAAACACACAACCATATGCTTATTATAGAACGAAATCTGTTCTTGTGATTAAATCATATACAGCGAATTTAGTAGCAATTTCAACATAGATGCACGAATTTAACGGCTACGTATATCGCTCATTTATATGTAGCCAAACAAACGCAAATGAGGTCAATTAACCAAAGCTATAGATTTGAGTGAGTTAATTACGTAGATATATACAAGCATAAACAAAATCAAATGAAATTAGAACCTGAATCAACATAGTCGAACCATTTTTGATAGATTTTTTGATGCTCCTTCGAACAAGAAGCGATCGAACCTGATACATTCATCATTTTCTTCTATAAACTGCAAAAGCTCCAATTCATTGATGGCAAATGATCTACTCTTGTAGTTGAGGGTTTTTAGTTACAACATTTGGGGTTTGGAAATTTGAATACGCATATTTGCGCTTTCTGTGTTGTTGGTTCAGTTATTAGACATCGTCGTCAACCGCTCAGTCTTTTCTATTTCTCGGTCCGTAAGAGTGAATAATTTCAGTTATGCCATTTTGTTTTAAATTTTAAAAATCGGAGTAAATATATTATACGCTTTATTAATTATTTCTCAGATAAAATGTATATGAACTACATATATGTTTTTTTTTCCTTTAAAATATTATGATTTAATTTAAATCATTTGGTGAGTGAATTTAATTTAGTTTTCTTAAAAATTAGATTATATTTGGCATGCTTTTCACATAGTGTAAAGTATATAATAGACTTTGTGTATTGTTTTACAAAATATAATTTAAAATTCCTTATTTTATATTTTCTAGATTATATATGATGTTATACCTTAATTTTTATACACAACATTAAAAATTTAAGTAACTTAATACTCATAAAATAATACAATTGTATATTATATGCGTTTTAAATCAATGGTTTTTTCAATAATAAAAGATTGAACTGTTTAGATTTCGATTTAACATTATATTAAATTCAAATCCCTAGTATGTCATTAATTTTTAAAGTGAATTGGAAAGATATAAATTTGTCGTATTTGGATAGAATGTAACGAAAATGTTGAATTAAAGGTGACCCTGATACATATATAGAGATATATAGTAAGTATAAGTGTATATTAAAAACTTATAGATATATAGTAACTATAAATATAAAAGTTAGACTACCATACTACTCAATTTTGGTCATTTGATAAAAATTGAAATTGAATCTCTTCTACTTTCTTTATAAATGATGAAATCCATCAAATACGCAAGCTTTTGATAAAATTAAATTTCGTCTATTTAACATCAAACACATAAAAAAAAAATCTTAAATCTAAGTTTCGTCGATTTTTTATGAAATTGCACAAATCAAACACCGAAATAACCCTATACAAAATAGTCATGAAAAACTACTTACATTTTGAATTAAATATTTATTTATGCAACTATTTGTTTCGATCACGAATCAATTTATCTTTTATAATATTGTCGAACATTCTTTTCGTTGGTTTTCTTTTAATATTAATTGGTTAAAAAATCCAATTATGTCTTAATTTTGTATTTTCTATCTCCTTGTTAGTTTTATTTTCTTTTATATGAAATATTGTTGTTCAAAAAAAATTATGCAACTAATATATACAAAGATATTGTTTTCTTATTAATCTACGGGCTATTGCCTCATAGCCATTATTTATATGGCTTTGTTATGTTTTAAGCCTAACTTTTCTTTTTGTTCTTTATGACATTATTGTTTGGAAAACCTTTTATTTTTGGGCTCTTGTCCGGTCACCAATTACAATGATATGTTGGTGACATATTTTTTTGATTTGCATTTAGCTTCTCCATTTACGTCCTAATATACATTTAGTCAGAATATTTTTTGTTCACCTTTTGCCATTATCTTTCAGGGGAAAAAAATCAATTTTAATCATTAGTTGGTCACCCACAAGTATTTTTAACTTAAAATGAAAGAGAAAGAGACGTTGAAGGCAAGAGTTGAACTCAAGACTTCTCCTTAAGCATCGGGGCATATTGGTCGGTGAGCCAAATAACCCTCTTTGTTATGTCATAAAAACATGTTAATGTATGTCATATCATCATAATTTGAATCAACGTGTTATTTGTTGCTCTAATGACTATATTTATCAAAGTATAATATCCTAATAAAATTTAATTTGAAGTACATGTTGTAATAAGAAAAATATAAAAGTACAACGGCATAATAAAAAACATATAATGTTATTTCTTGCATTTAGCAATTAAAGTTATGTGTGTTTATCGGAAGTTTTTACCCGACATTTTAAAATACATGTTGGTGACATGTCAAGTTAAAATGATTTTTTTTTTCAAAAATAACAACAAACGGAGAACAAAAAATATTGAGGTTAAAATGCAAATAAAGATGTAAATGTTGTGACTAAATGAAAAACAAGAAAAAAAAATCATGTTAGTCAAACCGGCACGCCATCTTATACTATTGATCCGGCCAAGGGCAAAAAAAAAACAGAATTTTTTCCAAAATATAATGGTGTATAAAAAAATAAATGTTTGTATTAAAACAAAAGAAAATCGTATAACTAATGATATTTGTAATTTTATGATGCATACAAAGTATTCCTTTAATTGGTTTCAATATTTTATCATTTTATTATTTTATGATGCATAAATCGGTTATTAGGAAAATCACTATATTATATAGACCAATTGAAGGCTATAAATAAGTTTATATAAATTGCTTAAAAAACACCTCCTACATAAATCGATTTAAACACCTACAAATACAATTGCATTTAACTTACCATAAACATAAACATAAAAAGTCGATATAAATAGGAAAGTTGGGCTATTGCACCCCCTGAGCTTCAATACATGCGTCTCTCTTCCTTCATCTTTCTCCAATCCTTTCTGTCGCCCCCCTCAGAGTGTAGCCCTACCTGCAATTGCAAATCTCCAAGGGCAGATCAGAAAATATTTAGTGTTTCGTACTTCCACTACACACAGGTATTTCGTATTTCTCTTTCCCTCCTCTTTCGATCATTCAATTCCCTTTATTTAACTGTAATCTCTGTACGGAGTACGGACCCTATTTCCGAAATTGGTTTCCCACCCTCAATCATGATTAGTGGACTATACTCAAGATCAGCTCCAACAGTGTTTGATTTTCAACAATTGAGGCCGTCTCCCATCTGTGTTTTGTTTTTGCATCACCGATTTCTAGGGTTTGACTTTTTATGATTTCGACCGCTTCTTATTATCTGTTACTCTGTTTCGTGTTTTTGATATTACTATCTTGTTTCATATTGTATGTCGTGAATGTGGCATTGAACTTTTAAGATTTAATCGTGAGGATGGGTTTTAACTTTCAAGCTTTTAAGGTTTAATTAATCGTTTGATACTGTAAACGATTGATTTTTTCTCTTTGACTTCTGATTCTGAATTAGGTCAGTTCTGGATATCCATTCAGTAAAAACGAATCAGATTTACTTATTACAATTACAGAGATGGCAATCGTGCCATCAAAGAAGACGATAGCTATTTGCCACTACGGAGGTGAATTTGAAACGAATGAAGATGGATCAATGTCGTATATTGGTGGGGAAGCCTATGCTGTTGATCTAGATGAGAACATGCAGTTCAGTGGTTTCAAACAAGAGATCGCTGAAACTATCGATTCTTCTGTAGATGGGATGCTAGTGAAGTACTTCTTGCCAGGGAACAACAAGAATCTCATTACTGTATCAAAAGATAAGGATTTTCATCGAATGGTTAACTACTACAAGGAATCTGATCAGCTAGAGGTCTTTATAATGAAAGAAGCCCCACCTGCTAAAACTCCCAAGAAGAAGCAGCCTGCTCGCAGGTAATTTCATTATCCAATATTTTAAAGAGTTTCATGAGCATGCTTATTATTTGTATATGACAATGTGTAGTGTTTAAAGGGGTGTTATGTGCCTTTAAATCGATCATTATAACTTGAAATCACAAATTCACAATAATCAAATATTGAGTGCTTGGGGTAAATGTGATTCAGGTTTTGATGTTCTGATTGTATAGGTCTGAAATGATTAGTTTTGGAAACACAGCTAATATATTGCTAATTTGCTATTATGAAACTGATTATTCAGATAAATAAGAGCACATACCTACCCTTAGTTTTAAACAATGGATGTTCTAATTATCTGATTCTTTAAGTTGCAACAATAACTTTTAAAATGCACATACAGACACCCTTAAATTTATGTGGAAAAGACATAAATATCATCCTCATTCTCATCATAAAAAAGAAACCCTAGATATGTTGTCCTGTCCTGTCCTGTACGCAGCCTAAAATAGTTCCCGTAGCATGTTTATGTTTGTCACATAAGATAGTGAAAAGGGAAAACAGATTTTTATTAAATTTCCATTCAAGGAATAGAATCTAACCATTTGTTACCTTTTCTAATAAGTTTTTATTATCAAACACGTGTAGACCACAAAAGAAACCAGTTGAAACAGACATGGGAGCTCTCGTGCCATCAGTTGACCTTGGTCAAAGTCAAACCAATGTAGTCCCTCTAAACGAAGTCATCGACATAGAATCAACAAACGACATCACTCCAATTCCCATCAACCCTTTCCCCATGTCCACAACCGACAACGAATCCCCCATAGCTGCAAAACAATGGGAGAATCTCATAACCGGAGTTGGTCAACGATTCCATTCCTTAGCTGAATTCCGGGAAGCCCTAAGAAAGTATTCAATCGCACACGGATTCAACTATGTCTACAAAAAAAACGAAAACCAACGTGTCACTGTTAAATGCAAATCAGAAAGCTGTCCATGGCGTATCCATGCATCAAGACTTTCAACAACACAATTAGTTTGCATCAAAACAATGAGACCAACTCATACTTGCCAAGGTGGCACAATAAAACCCGCGTTTCGAGCTACAAGAAGTTGGGTTGGAAATTTAATAAAAGAAAAAGTAAAAGATTCTCCCAAAATTAAACCAAAAGACATTGCTAATGATCTTAAACGTGATTATGGAATCGAGCTTAATTATTCCCAAGCAAGACGTGCGAAAGAATACGCACGTGAACAACTTTTAGGATCTTATAAAGACGCGTATAATGAATTACCCTTTTTTTGTGAGAAAATAATGGAAACAAATCCCGGGAGTCTTGCTACATTTACTACTAAGGAAAATTCGAGTTTTCATCGTCTTTTTGTTTCTTTTCACGCCTCAGTGTCCGGTTTCGTACAAGGTTGTCGGCCGCTTCTTTTCCTCGATAGCACGCCGTTGAATTCGAGGTACCAAGGGATGTTGCTGGCGGCCACGGCGGCAGATGGTGATGACGGGGTTTTTCCGGTGGCTTTTGCAGTGGTTGATGAGGAAACCGACGATAACTGGCGGTGGTTTTTAACGGAATTGAAACTCGCAGTGGCGGCACACGGGCATATACAGATTACATTCGTGGCGGATTTCCAGAAGGGTTTGCGGGAATCTTTACCGGAGATTTTTGGTGGGGATTGTTATCACGCGTATTGTTTAGGTTATTTAGCTGAGAAATTAAATAAAGATTTAAAAGGACATTTTTCACATGATGCAAGAAGGTTGATGGTTGAAGATTTATACGCAGCTGCACACGCGACAAAACTTGAAGGTTTTGAGAAATGCACACAAGACATCAAAGCGATATCTCCGGAAGCTTATAATTGGATTATTTGTAGTGAACCGGAACATTGGGCAAACACGTTTTTTGGAGGTTTAAGGTATAATCATATGACATCGAATTTCGGTCATGTTTTTTACGCGTGGGTGTCGGAAGCAAACGAGTTACCAATAACCCAAATGATCGACGAGTTGAGGGGTAAAATGATGCAGTTGATATACACGAGAAGAGTGGAGTCGACTCAGTGGATGACCCGGTTGACTCCTTCGATGGAGGAGAAGTTAAAGAATGAGATTATGAAAGCTCATTCGGTTCAAATCTTGAGGTCACATGGAAGCAAATTTGAGGTTCGATTTTGTGACAGTATTGATGTTGTTGATATTGAGAATTGGGATTGTAGTTGTAAAGGGTGGTTGCTTACTGGGTTGCCTTGTTGTCATGCGATTGCGGTTCTTGAATCTTATGGGAGGAGTGCGTATGATCATTGCTCCAGGTATTTTCATGTTGAGACGTATCAATTGGCATATGCGGATTCGATTCATCCTGTGCCAAATGTCGAAAGGTTATTGGATATTGAATTTGATGATGGGACGATTGTTGTTACGCCTCCACCCACGATTCGGACACCTGGCAGGACAAAGATCCGCAAGGTTGCACCGGGTCGGGTTGGGCCCGCGGATTTTCTTAAACGTCAACTTCAATGCGGGAAGTGTAAAGGCCTTGGTCACAATAAGAGATCATGCAAGTATGTCTTTCTTCCTTTTGGCCCCATTTATTATAAACTACATCTACTGTTTTACATTATTAATGGATTTGTTTTGGTTTCAGAGAGGATCATGAAGGTCACTTGCAGGTGAGTGGGTTGACATCGATCGATATTGGTCAGAATTTATAGCGTAATTTTTATTTGATGGTTGGTTAAATGTAAATGTCAGATAGTAATTTCATAGGCATCCTGGTTTTTTTGAGGTAAAATTTTTAGGATAGATTAGTTTATGATCTTTGAAGGAGTTGATAAGAGGCTTTTGATAAGGAAGCAATAGCATTGCACACTTGGTGGCCTAGATTATACTTTTACACCTTTAAAGGGTGTTTCTTTTTTTCATTCTTTTTGAAATAATATGGAAATTGCAATAGTTTCTTTTTTAAACTTGTTTGTGTTTTTGGGAATTTCAAGTTAAATCTTACATATGTAATTGTTGTTATCACAGTTTATTTAAGCAATTGGTTTAATCATGGCTGTGAGTGAATAGCAACACGCTTTACTCTAGCTACCAATTTAGGCAATGTATTTTTTTTTTTATTTTACATATAATAACAGCGTACTTACATTTCTATATTGATATCGTAATGGACTTTATTATTTATCTATATTAGCAATGTATTTACATTTTGCTACCAAAATGTAAATTGACATCATTTTGTTACATATTTCTATAACTGATAAAGAAATGTAAGTATGTTGCTATTATGAGTAAAGGATTGTTAGTACGTTGCTATTATGTGTAAAGAAAATGTAAGTATGTTACCATTATGAGTTACACATTGCTACTACCAGTAAAACAATTCAAATACATTGCTATTATGGGTAAATAAATATAAATATATTGCTAATGTGTATACAATAATATTATAGGTATCAAATGTTTTTATAAGTTTACCGCCAAACTATGTTTTTATAAATTTATATTTATTCATGTATACAATAATAGTATATGCATCAAATGTGTCAATTTATATTTATATATATAATATATATTAAGAACCTATATCATTATCCATGTAAGATATTTTTACTTAAAGTAGTTCATGAATTAAAATTTCCATATAAGAAATTTAAGGCATGGCATTATCATCATCTATTTACATGGAATGTGTACGACCTTGTCCTTAGTATTTGCTAAACTACATGGTTGTCGCTCATAAGGTTTTAGTTATTTTATCTCGGTAGTTTTCAAACTTAGAACGTTTCAATATGCATTTGTTATTTAGACAAAATTACATTTTTGGTCCATGTGGTTATATGATTTTTTTGGATCAAGTACACTTTTTCCAATTTTGACATTTATGGTCCGTGAAAAAGTTTTATGTCACGTTGTTGGTCCCTGGGCTGTTAAAATCAATCCAACTGACCGTTTTGCTCTTATCATCTTCATTTCTTGGTGTTCATTCTTAAGAATTTTTTATCTGTGTATCCAATATAATTACAACACAAATAATACCAAAATCTTTTAAAATCAAACCTTATTATAGAAAAATATAATCAAACAAAAAACATAATCATGTTCGTCAATATTGGACAAAATATGATTTTTCTTTTGCTCATTGGGTCATTGAAGCATCAATTTGGGGTTACAAAACCAAAGTTCCAGAACACAATACCTATCTACGATTTCGAGTATCCTTTAGTTAACGCACACAGATGATTAAATAACAAGTGGATCAAGTTTGACTCCAATTCATCAGTAATATTGTTTTTTCGACTTTAAAGAAACTTCCCTATGATTAAATTTAAGAACCCAAGACTGTAATGAAGAAAATCGGAAAGAATTTAAGATGCATACATCTGATCAAACAAAGTGAATTGTCTAAAACAAGATTCTAAAAAAGTTTAAAGATTCGTTAAATCCAGATGGGTATTTCTAAAGTAGCTTGAAAAGAACAAAAAGAAGCTAATAAATTTGAATAGACTTCTATAAGTAATGAAGAAGACAAGGTCAATAATGTAATGGGCAAATGTCATATTAGCCCATCGAACTTTTCATGTTTATTTTAAAAGGTCACCAAACTTTTTTTTTGTACATTAAAGGCATAAACTATCGTTTGACCTGTTAAAAAGGTCACTTGACCCACTATAACAGGTTTTAATTTCAATTGTAGCCTTATCACCTCCAACCTCCTCCCACTGTAATAGGTTTCCCTCTCTAAAAGAGCTAGTTTGTGAGAAATGGGTCCAATTTCTCTTTTTGTTCAATTTCAATTGCTAAAAGAAATAGTGCATCCCAAATATAATATCGCAAACCATTTGATGAAATGGGTCCAATTTCTCTTTTTGTTTTTGTTTGGAATTGAATGTATCAGAGAGCGAACACAAAAAAAGAGATCAACGACTGTAGGTCAATGCTCCCAGAGATGACTTGTTTTTTTGTTTGGTTCTTTGCTGGAGCTCACCACCTGTAGCAGGATATCGGAGCGGAGGCAGGAGGTGAATATTAAAGGCATCGATCTGGTGAGTTGTTGCTTGAAGGAAGATGATGGGTGTCGGCATTGACAAGTGATCCGGTTCTAACCTGGTGGTCGGATGGCAATGAAGATCAGAGCAGTGAGAGAGACCGGTATTAAAACATGGTCGAGTTGCAAGTGGTTCCGATGGAAGAGAAAACAAAGATTGAGAACGGATTTGATGAAAACCTGGTTTTGTGAGATTTTGTACAAATTTCTATCCTCGAGGGCTTGAAATTGAATGAAAACCCGGTTTTGTCAATATTTTGTTCAATGCCCAACTGATATCATGTATTTAATTGAATAGGCTGTCAAGAACATAATTAGTTTTCCCTTTAATCATTCTTCTTTTCTCCTCCTGTTCATACATAATTACTGCTAAAATTAAGCTGTTCTTGTTAATTGGTTTGCGGCAAAGGTTTAACAGTCAATGGGGGAAATAAGAAATGCATAAAGGTGTTAGAAAAAAAGAGATATAAGAATTGCATAGAAGGTGTTCGACAAAATGCTTGAAAGAATAGTTTGGCCTACATCAAACCTTTTAAGTGTTAAGCCTATTTATCAAACATACATCACCACATTTTACCTGGATACCCGGTATCAGGTCAAATAAGGACCTTTTAAAACGGTAAATTCTGACTTCATTCCCTTAATGTACAAAAAAATAATTGAGTAACCTTTTAAAACAAACATGATAAATTTGATGGGCTAATATGACATTTGCCCCTAATATAATTCTGTCTATTATTTAAGGGCTTGCTTAGCAAAACTAGCTAGCTAGTAGCTGTAGCTATTCACGACTAATAGAGTACATTGTCTGTTTTGGTAAAAATGATAAAACGCATTGTTCTTTAGCATAATTTCCCCTTTATTTTAATTTAGAAATCCAACAAAATATAAAGTGACAACTGCAAATTGTAATCATATTTAGGGTTCTTCTTTCTTATCTGGGGGAGGCAAGCAATTGAAAGAAAAAAAAAAACTCATTGATGAATGATGGCATGACATGCATCTCTCATTTCTCTATTTCATACAAATATTCATTCAGTCATCTTCAAAACAAAGGATTACAACTTATGTCCAAGGAACAAACACAGTAGCACCAAAAAAAAAAAACCTCTTTCCTAAAGACTCTCTCAGATACAGAGTTTGTTTGTTTGGTTGTTTAAACCAGAGAAACATGCAGAGCATAATAATACCTTACTTCTTCCCACCACTGGAGACATTAAATTTGAAAAATATAATATCACCATCCTGAACCACATAAGTCTTTCCCTCTTGCTTGTACTTCCCAGCAGCCTGCAATTAAGTGCTTAACTCAAAAACAAACACCCCCTTCCCCTTAATTAATCAACCACATATCATATGGATAATACCTTAACAGCAGACTCGCTTCCCAACTCTTTAAGATCCTCAAACTTCATTACCTACAAAAGCATCAAAACATACAGATTCTCATCCTCATCCTCAAAATCAATACTTAAAAGATTCAGAAATACTATATTTTAAGATTGATAATAACCTCTGCACAGATAAACCCTCTTTCAAAATCAGTATGAATTGCTCCTGCAGCTTGAGGTGCCTTTGTTTGCCTCCGAATTTGCCAGCATTTCACCTGCATCCCAATTGCCACATCATCTTTAATTTAAATTATACAACAATCTGGGAAGTAAAGATTTTTTTACTGTTTATAGAAAAGAAATTACCTCATCAGGTCCAGCAGTGAAGAAGTAGATAAGATTAATAGCAGAAAATCCAGTCTTTATAATCTTTGGAAGAGCACTGTGCCACATTCCATATTTGATTAATAATACTTTTCAAATAATAATACAATAAAATACCCAACAAAAAATACACATGATTTTCAAGAAAACATCATCTCAACTGACCTTTGTATCTTGTTCTCCTCACAGTATTTTGCTGCTTCATCATCTGGAAGATCAGCAAGATTCCGTTCCAAAGAACAACTGAAAGGAATAATTGTCTCGCCCCCATGCTCTTGCACCCTAGTACAAAATAAAAAAACTTAAAAGTTAAATCACCAACAAATTCAATAATTCAATATGATGTTTTAAGTGTCTTTTATGCTGATTAAAGATGTAAAAAGTAAATTAAGCATACCAAGCATGAATCTTGGGAAGAAACTTGTTCTTCTTCCTCTGATAATCTTTTTCATTCATATTCACCTGCACAAATGTGTAAAGGGTATTCAAGATTTCAATATTATCAGCATAACAATAGACATTCAAGAACAAATGAATTTACCAGATAAACAACAGGTTTTGCAGTGAGCAACTGAAACGTATTCAGTATTTCAATTTCAGCAGCTTTCCAGTCCCCTAAACGAATGTCTTTTTCACTCTCCAGCCATGTTTTCACCTAAACAAAAAACAAAGTAGAGTCAATGTGCACACATTTGACTTTTAATGAAGTAAATATACATTAAAAAAAAACTTGGTAAATCTATGAAGATACATACCTTCAAACACAATTCAAGTTCTATTTTTAACTGCTTGTCGTTGCTCCTCTTCATGCTCTTTTCAAGATCTTCAATTGTTCTTTTTATGAACTCAATATCCTTTAAAATATAAGAGCATGCTAATGTTAATTGTTAAGAATCTAAATCATACAACAAATAAGCATCCAAACAAATTTTAGAACACACCTTCAGCCGTAATTCTGCAGTTATAACTTCTAAATCTCTTACAGGATCCACAATGTCATCAACATGTATAATATCCGGGTCTTCAAATGCACCTGTTTTACAAATATATACCACAACAAACATTTTCACACTTTGAAAATGAATAAGCAAATCCACAATAGAAAAAACAAATATTAATCTTACGTAAAACATGGAATATCCCATCAACTGCACGAATGTGAGATAAGAAATTGTTTCCAAGCCCTTGTCCTTCATGGGCACCTTTAACCAATCCAGCAATGTCATGTATCTCTAAGAATGCAGAGATCTAACAAGCA